TTCTGTCGCAGGTGGTTGGGCAGGTCCTGCACTCGGCTGTGCAACCTGAGAGGCACTCCCTGGACGAAACCATCGCTGAAGCTGGCTTTGCTTTGGCTGGAGAGTTTTATTAGAAGCCTGCAGGGTCTGCTGTTGGGATGCCTTAGGCAGGGGGGTGACCTGCGTCGGGGATTCTAATTGCGTAGAGAGGGCCGTGTGCAGCCGTGGGGTGGCGACCGCAGAAAGAGATGCGCCAGTCCCAGTATTATTCGGTGAAAGGTGTGAAATCTGAGTTTGTGGGAGAGATGAATGAGATCTGGAGAGAGGGGCCTCAGGGTGCAGAAAGAAGAAGAGCTGCAATTGCTGAATGACTGGGCACTGCTTTGTATGTCTGGGAACGCTCTCCACTTTCACGCCGCAGGCAGGGCAGGGGGACAAGCGGGTTAGCACGTACATCTTAGAAGTGTTATTCCCCGCAGAAGCTTTGTAAGAAGCCCATTCTGCTCCGTGTTTTTTGGTGAGGTGGAAGGCTATTTTTGTCGTGGAGACTATCCACGAGTCGCAGAGAAGGCAGGTTCTGGTAAGCTGCCGGCCGAGGTTGCCAGTGATGAGCTCAAGGAAGGTCTGTCCTCCGGCCTGCTGCAGCAATTCAGTGCACATGCGCGAGATGAGCGGCGCTGTGTCTAACTGCAAGGTAAGCTGGACCGAGGGTGCAGCAGCAGCCTGCCGGTCTGATGAAGGCTCAATCTCCTGGCTGGAGGAAACCTCACTCGCCTTGGGATGAACCACGTCAGCCAGGGTGGCTGCTGCAGGTCTAGAAAGCTTAAAGCCGTCCTGTCTGCAGACTCTGCGCTCAACGTGTTGCTGTAGATTATGCCAGTTTTTGAACTTCGTCTGGCAGTTAGAGCATTGAGGCATGCCTCCCACGGAATGCTTTAGGCGTGAGAATTCAAGAGGTGGCAGGGCAGGAGCCGGGTGCTTGACTGTCCGGTGTGTTCTCAAACCCGCCGCAGTGCGAAAGACCTTTCCGCAACAGGCATGCGTGGGTACGTCCGGAGAGGGGTCGTTGTCGACCTCCGTGAGCAGCTTGCGATAAGAGGCTACAATCTCCTCCGCCGTTTGCAGGGTGGAGGGAATGGTTAGGATATCCTCGTTAGGCCAGGCACCGGGCTGAGTGAAGGGCAAAGAACACGTTTTGGCCGACATGGATGTCGAGCAGGAGGTGACCTCACTCGCTGGAGCTGCATGCCGGCGCTTGCGAAGGGAGTCTAGTCGCTGGGCTGAGCGATCATGAAGCTGCTGAATGGGAGGAACTAGCTTAAGACGCGTGAAGAGCGCTGCAGTAGTTTCTCGAGTCTTATGCACAGGGTTATGTGTTACCGCCCTTACCTGTCTGGCATGCCATGAGCGAAGAGCTCGTGCCCGCCGTCCTGAAAGACCAACAGATTCCAGGCCAAAGGTGGCCGTGGACCAGACGGTGGCCCTCCAGACAAGCAGCCTGGATGCAGTTTTTGTCTTGCGCTTATTGTGAATGAATTTGCGCACTGTCTGCTTTTTCTTCGCCGCTCTCTCTTGTCTTAAGGAGAAAGTGAGATCCTCCGGGTTTGAGTAGCTGACCATTACCCCAAGATACTTAAAGGAGTCTACCAGCTCGAAGGAAGGAAGGGAGGGAAGTGGGGGAAGAACAGAGGAGTTTGAGAGCAGAACTGGCCGCCTAGGCTGTTTTGGGGCATCTATGTTCCAGACCGTAACTTTCCGGCCCGAGCGCAGCTCCTGTGACTTGAAGAGCTTCTTGGCCTGCTGTGCATGGCGACCGGCCAATTTGACCATAATGTTGCACTTTGCATAGTTTACCTCTAGTCCGGCTTCTTGCAGATAGTGCAGTAAAAGTCTTACCATGTCATGAGCCGCGTAGAGGTCGGACCAGTTGTGGATGTCCCGGTGAATGACGAGATCATCCGCAAACCCTGTGAGGAACTGCTGTATGGGAGGGAACCCTATGTGGGTTGCCATAAGCCGGAACGCCTCCGTTATGACCAGGGAGAAAAGCGAGGGGGCCAGTTTGCAGCCCTGCTTGATACCTCTAGTTGAGGTGACTGAGTCCTGGCTTCTGCCATACCGCAAGTTATACTGGGCTTCCCTATGAAGCGATGCCACTAGCTCAACGTCCTCTGGTGAGGCTCCGTAGGTTTTGAGTGAGCGCAAGAGAGCTTCTCTGCTAGTTTTGTCAAAAGCTTGGGAGAGGTCTAGTGAGAAGGTGAACCCTCCTATCAGATCGGGCTTTCCCTTTCTACCCTTGGAGGTGCAGAACCTATCTGGTGCACGGGAGCGAAGCAATGCACGGACGCGCCTAGCATGACCAATTACTCGGAGTTGGGCGTCGGCTATCCCTCGTCCTGGAATATAGGCAAATTGAGGGGAGGCAAAGTGAGCCTTCTTAAAGAGAGGGTCTAGCCTTCTCCTAGCCTCTGAGGCTATTCCTTTTCCATCTGGCCTGATGATGCCTAGCGGTCGCAAGTTTTCAGGCTTAGAGGCTGGTTTAGAGGGCTGTGGTATGAAGCTAAGGTCTGCTGA